GAAGAAACAGTCAGGGAGCAGGAAATGAGCTAAAGATGAAAAGGTCAAACCAAGTGAAACAGAGACCAGAAAGGGGACGGGGGGGGGGGGGGGGGGGGGGGGGGGGGGGGGGGGGGGGGGAAGGGAAGCGGGGGCTGGGAGCCTGCCTCATGACCCCCAGTGCCCTTCCCCCAACCCCTGGGCCCCGGGGCTGGGCCACCTTCCCCAACACCTTCAGCTGCCCTTCTGACAGGTCCGGGGTAGGGCCTGGGGATGTCTGGCTTTGCATTTCTGCTCCCCACAGCTGCACAAACCTTTTCAAGCCCACGGTCCCCAGGAACGCAGAGACCAGAGTCGGAGGGTCTGCAAGGGACTGGGCTGGGGTGGGGGGGAGCAGCAACCTGAGACCCGAGGGCCCCTGGAGGGGGAAACAGAGGTGTGGGAGAAGCAGGGCTGCCTGGGGACCCTCCTGGGGGAGCAGCAAGGAGGGGCGTCTCTCCGGGTAGGGGCACGGGTAGGAAGGACTGATGTTACAGGGGAGAGGTGGGGGGCGGCTGCTGGACAATCGAGAAGGGCTCCCTGGGTTTGGCGACCTGGCAGAAGGGACAAGATGCCCTGGGGGCTCGGGGAAGAAAGACCATCTATCCCTGCCCCTCCCCCAAACTCCCCAGGGGAAAAGGTGGTTCGCTTGCCCTCCCCAGACCCCGGGCCCCTCGCACTCCTACCTAAGCAGCTTTAGCTAATAGCATTAAGGGAGGTCTCGGGACTACCTACTCTCCACTTGGGACCGAGATCAAGGGGACCGAGCAGAGGCTTCTAATCAGATTGGGGATTTGGTGGAGGGGTGGGGGGTCCGCAGTTTGCTCAGTGCTGACCAGCATAATCCCCGCGCCCCACCTGGAGGCCGTCATCTCTGTGTTTCCACTGTCCCCCTCTGGGCTGGTCTTCCCACTGTGACCCTTCCGGCCTGGCCTGTGTCCGCCACCGGCTCTCAGTCACGGCCCGCAGCCCAGCAGGCACTCTTTCTCTCCGCTGCTCTCCCACTGAATCAGTCAGGGGCTCACTGAGAGGACCTGGCTGAGGCCAATCAACCAGACGGTGCAGTCGATCCAGGCCAGCCTCTTAGAAGGCCCAACAACAGTCATTTCTGCTGCAAGTTTTGCTTTTCAGATAGGTAGGCAGCATTGGTCTTGTTTTTTTTACTTTTTTTTCTTCTGAGTTTGTCCCTGTCTTTCTCATCCCCTCCCATCTGACTGAGGGTCCCCAGGCTTCACAGCTCTGCTGAGACCGGGGAGGATCCCAGGGCCCGGGGCCCCACCGCCCGCACCGCTTCACTCCTCGCGTTCAGCTTCTGCCCCATTGACTGACGACAGCTCAGAGCTGGGAGTCAGACAGCCCTGTTCCGGGCTAGCCGGCTCCGCCACCTGCCCTGGGATCTTAGGCAAGTCTCCTACTCTTTGGAGCCTCGATTTCCAACCCTTGTAAAGTGGGGATGTGGATGGCCTCGTCAAGGGGTTATTGTGAAGATTCAGTGCAGTAGCATGGGGTGGGAGGGACTGTCAAGCACCGTGCCTGGCAGGATAGGGGCCCAATTCATATTGACTCAACTCTCAGAAAGAGACGCTCTGCCTGAGACATTCCCTTCAGCTCCAAGCCCTGGCGTAAGGCTTACTCTCTTGTTGCCAGCATTCTCATGCTGCTTTATTAAATCCTGACCTAAAACCTACATGTGTTGCAATGAGCACTCGCACCGTCCAAGGAGACTGCTGGAACTCTCGGTCAGCAGGCCTCGGAGGCGCTGCTCTAGCCCTTCCAACGACACAAAGCGCTTCCAAGAGCCACGCTGACCATCCCAGACTGGGTTAGGACCCTTTGTGATGGACAGTTCTCCAGGTCGGCCCAGAGCTGCCGGGGCTGTGAGAGCCTGGCCCGGCCCCCCAAGCTCAGCACGCTGGGCTCACAACACCGGAGGAAGGAAGCTGGGGGCCTGGGGTGGAGGGGTGGGGGACAGAGCAGGGCGCCTCCCCCAGCCTTGGGAGCCTCACCACCACAGCAGGGGTTAGAGGGAAGGGAGAGCCTGTCTGAGGCTGGATCAGCTCCTCGGGGCTCCAACACCAAAGGAGGGGCTTGAGGGAAGGCGTTAGGCAGGACTTGCCGGGAATGAGGACGTCCACATCCAAGTGCCAAGCCCCTCAGAGACTTGGGGATCCAGGAGGGACTCCCACAAATGCAGGGGAGGCCGGGAAATGGGGAGGGGCAGGGAGGGCAGGCTTGACCTCTGCCACTGATGCCACTTTGGTTTTTGTATTTGGGGTTTTTTTCCCTTTGGGGGCCAGACAGAGGATGTTGGTAGCCTACCTGAGTGGCAGAATATTATAAATCCTGAATTAAGGTCTTGCTTTCCGCTCTTTCACTTAAGAACTGTGTGGCCTTAGAGAAGTTCCTCGACCCCTCTGAGCTCCAACTCCTCAGATACTTCCGGCGAGGTTTCGGGGTGGGCATGTCTAATTCCTGGGCAGGGTGCACTGAGGGTCTGCTCTGTGGTGGGTTTATCATTCTCCTTTTTTTTTTTTTTTTTTTTAAGATTTTATTCATTTATTTGAGAGAGAGAGAGCACAAGCTGGGGAAGGGGCAGAGGGAGAGGGAGAAGCAGGCTCCCCGCAGAGCAGGGAGCCCGATGTGGGACTCGATCCCAGGTCTCTGGGATCGTGACCCGAGCTGAAAGCAGGCGCTTAACGGACTGAGCCACCCAGGCGCCCTATCATTCTCCTCTTGCCAGGTCCTAGATCTACCCTGAGGTCTCCGATCCTCCAGACCAGGAGACCCCATCTGGGGAGACTTAGTGGCACGGGGACAGCTGGAGGAATCCCACCAGCTCCCTCCACAGAACAGTCTTCCCTTGGGACCTCCCACCTCCACACCCCTCCCTGCACCACCCCCCACCATCTCCCAACCCATTTTTCTAAGGTGAGGTGGGAGGGATCCCAACCCACTTGCGGTAAGAGAGGAGGAACTTCCCAATGGACCAGGCAGGAAAGGAAGGTGGGGGATGAGTGGGGGCGTCTGTTCCAGGGGCAGAAAGGAATAGGAGAAGTTACAGAATGTCAGCGGGCAGAGGGATGGTGGGAAAACCTACTCCCACAGACTCCAAGTGGGCGTGGACCCACTCGCTGCTCAGCCACCTTAATTTCCAGGGGTGCTTTCTGCTTGGGCCGGACTGGGGACCCCCAGAAGCACCTGCCCCCAGGAGCTGTCAGTTTGTCAGTTGACCCCCTGGAGCCAAGCGTCCCCTGGGAAAGGAAGAGCAGAAGACCCATGACCTCTGGGGTGGGGGGATGGGAGAGTCTCGCCAGCTGAGGTGTCTGGGATCCCAAGCCATCCTGACTTCCCCTTCTGCTCTGTCCCACGGATTCTTTCTACTCACAGCAGGGTCCACGGACCCAGAAACTTGTTAGAAATGCAGACTCTAGGGGCACCTGGGTGGCTCAGATGGTTGGGTGTCTGCCTTCGGCTCAGGTCATGATCCCGGAATCCTGGGATCGAGCCCCACATCGGGCTCCTGGCTCAGCGGGGAGCCTGCTTCTCCCTCTCCCTCTGTCTCCCCCCCTGCTTTCTCTCTCTGTATCTCTGTGTCTCAAATGAATAAATAAAATCTTAAAAAAAAAAAAAAATGCAGAATCTCAGGCACCACCAAGTCCCCAGCATCAGAATCTGCACTGTGGAGAGATTTTCAGGGGCTCCTTAGGCGCGTTAGCGTTTGAGAAGCCCTGCCCTAGACGGGCGCTTTGTAAGCTTTAGGACAACATGGTGTGTGAGCCCGTGCTGTGCGTTAGGAGTGGAAGGGACAGTGGCTAAGCCCCTTGCGTCAGGTGGCTGCCCCTCAGTGAGCCGGCTGGAAAGTGAGGAGGCTACTCCAGACAAGCCCCCACATGCCCTCCAGACCTGCCGGCCTCGCCCCGACTTCGCCCGAGCTGGAAACTCGGAGTCAGATCACGTAAGCTGGTGCCCAGTGCGCATGTGGTCCTGCCCATGCAGGGATCGTCCATGCCAGGAGCGAGCCCACACCCTGCATCCCCCCCCCCCCGCCACGCTCCCTGGGCACTCTGCCCTCAGTGACAGTGGGAGCCGGCCTGGAGCACCAGCTTCAGCCCCATCTGGAAGGCTCTAGGACAGATCCATTTCCTCCCCTCGCTTGGCCTGCCTCGGGCAAGCTCATGCCGCGGGAGCTCACTCCCCAGCCTCCTCCCCATCTCACCGCCAGCCCCTGCCACACCTCCTGCCACACTGGGGACAGGCAAGATCCCATCTTCTGAGCCCGGGCTTCAGTAACTCAGCAAGTACTTACAGAGCACCTGCTAGTCCGAGGCCTGTGCTGGGCTGACCTCTGGGGAGCCAGTCGTGAACCAGACAGCCGGGGTTCCCGACGGAGCCGAGCCACCACTCTGAGGGGAAGACAGATATTAAACACGTAAAGGCACCATTGATAACTTCCTTACCACTTGCAGATGCTCTTGCCAGTCACTTCTTGGACACCCCCAGTGTGCCAGGCATGCGCCAGGCCCGGGAGACCCCCGGCTGAGAAAGCACAATCCTGGCTCTCCGCAAACTCGCAACCTAAGCCACAGAGCTATGGGTTTATGCATCTACTCAAGGTTTACCAGGAGCCAACAATTCATTACATTTTCTCTTGTCTTCACTTGGGAAAAAGTCCAATCCCACTAAGCCCTGAGCAGAGAGCTTATTCTGTCTAAATCCCCCAGCGGGGGCAGGAAAGAGGACCCTCTGCATTGCTCTGCAGCCCTATAGGTGGCTCGGCCCCAAGCCCTGGCCGTGAGGAAGCCCCAAGAGGAGGCCGGGCCGGCCCTCAGTGCGGTGGGGGGAGCTTCCTGCTGGCCGCCCCGGGGCCCTGCCTCAGTTCCCCCTTCGCCCCTCGAGTGTCCCTGCTTCTCTTTCCTTTATTCTTCGCCTCCCACCTCAGCAGTGCCCATTTCCCGCGGCCCTCGCTGCCCCCCAAGAAGACCATGCACTGCGGCTGCGTGGCCGAGGGTGCCCCCGCCGGCCCAGGCAGCCACTGGATCTCAGGTGAGCATCTGCCAGGCAGCCCCCTGCCCAGCTGCAGAGGGGCGGCTGGGGGGCGGTGCTTCCGAGCAGCCGGGTGGCACTCACACCCCCTCCGCCCAGGCCTGGCCTTCCCGGACTGGGCCTACAAAGCCGAGTCCTCCCCGGGCTCCCGGCAGATCCAGCTGTGGCACTTCATCCTGGAGCTGCTGCAGAAGGAAGAGTTCCGCCATGTCATCGCCTGGCAGCAGGGAGAGTACGGGGAGTTTGTCATCAAGGATCCCGACGAGGTGGCCCGCCTCTGGGGCCGCAGGAAGTGCAAACCCCAGATGAACTACGACAAGCTGAGCCGGGCCCTCAGGTGAGAACGGGCCACTGCTGGGGAGGGGCCCCGAAGGGTCAGAGTGCAAAGTCTCTGGCATCCCCGCCCCCCAAGGCTTGGGAGAGACTCCCCAGTGTGGCCGATGCCCAGTGGTTCTGCAGAAACAGCTGGGGTTCACCTCGCTGGCCTGGGGAGGGGCACGGCGGGGCCTCTGGCTTCATCGCTGCCCCCCCAGGGCCAACTCAACCCCACCTCTGCAGGTATTACTACAATAAGAGGATCCTGCACAAGACCAAAGGCAAAAGGTTCACGTACAAGTTCAACTTCAGCAGGCTGATCGTCATCAACTACCCTCTGTGGGAGGTGCGGGCACCGCCTTCCCCCCACTTGCTGCTGGGGGCCCCCGCCCCCTTCTGGCCAGCCCTGCTGCCCATGGGCATGCCCAGTGAGGTAGGCACCGTGCCAGGCAGCCCCCGCCCTGCACCCAGGATGCCCCCAGCCCGCCCCTCTGCCTCAGGGCGTCAGGTGTCGCGCGTTCTCCCCCTGCCCCGCCCCGCCTTCTAGTCCCTGAGTGCCCCAGCGCGGGGGTGGCGCCCCGAATCACCCCTGTGTGGCTCACAGTGCAGCATGCGCCTGGGGGCGAGGGTGGCCTCTTCCTTGTAAGGCCTTCAGCGGCGGGGTGTCTGGGGAGGCCCCTGGGCGTGCGGGCAGTGGCCACTGAACAACCATTCTGAGAATATTTCATTGTGTTAACAACTGGCTGTTGGCACAGTGTGACCTGGGGAACGCAGGCCGGCCCAGCCCACCCCACCCCACCCCTGCTTCTCACCGCCCCCCCCCCAGCTCCTGCACAGCCTGCTGCTTGCCCAGTGGGCCATGGTGGAGCACCTGGCTGGACAGCAGACCCCCCAGGGGCTGCCAGAGGCCGCTGAGGACAAGATGGGGAGCGGCAGCGGCGCCCCCCGTGAGTACCCAGGACTGGGGAGGGCCCGGGGGATCTGAGGCGGAGGAGGCGAGGACCGCTAGACGCAGCGCACGGAGCGCACGCGGGCGGGGGGCCGGGGGCCTGGAGACTAGGGATATTACACACCGTTCATCCTTCCACGAACCGAGCACCGGCAACTCCCCAGGTGTGGGGCTTCGGACAGTCGGTGCCCAGCGCCAAGACTCAGGCAAGCGCCAGGTGCCCCGGGAATGCAGAGGAGGGGCGGGGGTCCCGCAGGAGGCCGGCCCAGGCAGGCAGAGTGGGCACAGAAGGTGCCCAGGCCGAGGGAACAGCGTTGGTACAGCGGAGAGCTGTGAGCAAGGGCAGCAAAGCTGAAGGAGCCTGGGGGCTTGCCACGCTCGGGAGGAACGGGCGCGGCAGGCGTGGGCCGGGGAGGGCTGGCCGCCGAAGCAGCTGGTGTGCAGTCACGGAGGGCTCGGAGCCACACTAACCGGTCGGGCTTTACGCCCTGGGCAGGAGGCGCCCAGCGGGGAGAGGCGCGTTGAGATTTTCATCTCAGAAAATGACTTGGGTTATAGGTAGAGTTGGGGTTGGCGGAGGCTTGGGACGATCATCCAGGCAGAAGCTGATGGAGCCAGAACCAAGGCGTGGGTACCAGGTGCAGGAGGCCCAACAGAAGAGGGAGGGAGGAGAGCATGGCAAGCAGACAGAGCAGTGTCTGCAAAGGCCCTGGGGCAGGAAAGAGGTTCTGGGAAAGGCCAGCAGGGCAGCACTGACAACGCCGGGGAGACTGTGGAAATGTAGGCCGAGGCCGGCTCTCCCGGGGCTGTCAACAAGGAGGTGATTCTCTGTGAGAAAGATCACAGAGACACTTGAGCAGCCCAAGGCTTTACGCAGAGGTCCCAGACCTACCCCACCTCTGCTGGCAAGTTCATGGGATGAAGACCCTTAGCCTTAGCCCTACCCCCAGTGTAGGCAGCTGGGGGCCCAGAAGGGCCTGGCTCTGCACCCTGGAGCGCCGCTGAGGCTGTGGGTGCAGGCAGCCCAGGACGCGCCGGGACTCGCACGGCCGCCAGTCTGCCCCCCACCCCGGAGCTAGACAGAGCCTGCACAGCACCCCGTTCCTCCCCCCCCACCCATCCTCCTGGCTCCGGGAATGCCTCGGGCACACAGCTTTCTCTTTGGGAAACCATGAGGGGGAAACCAGTGTCCCTGGTGAGCCCCAGCTTGGAGTGAGGCCCGTGCCCTTCCCTGCCCTCCGCGAGCACACACACGCCCTGCCTGGCTGAGGTGAGCAGACAGCTAGAGCAGCCTGTCACCACCACCTCCACTCAGGGCATCGGTACCAGGAGAGGACACTGCCTCTGGGAGGAAGAGTGGCCGGGATGGTTGAAGCAGAGGCGGCGGGTGCGGGGCTGGTGCGGGGAAGCGAGCAAGAGGGGGAAGCACGCTTAGAGCCAGCTCCTCCGCATGCTACCCGGCTGCCCTCCCAGGGCCAGCACTGCCCGCCACACAGCCGCGGCCTCGGGAGCCCCCGGGACACGGCCTCCTGGGAGGACCAGAGCAGAAGGACGGTGAGCCCGTGACCCGGGGGAGGGCGCGTCCTTTCCCTGTGCAGGACTGTGTCCTCTGTTTTCCCCTCCGGAACTACGACTTCAGAAACAGTGTTCCTTTCAGATCTGTCGGGTGTGAAGTCATAACTAATGTGCTTTTCCAGTTTTTATCAACTCCAGCCCCACCGATGTGATCACCCTGCTCTCCCGGTTAAATGATGTGGCCTTGCTAAGAAAGGACCGGGAGGGATTGGAGTTGGGCCTTTTGAAATATAGACAGTGATGTGAGGTTCTACTGGTCACCCCGAGACCCAGACCAGGGCCGGGCACCCTGTTGCAAGATGCCCACAGAGCAGGAGGGGGGGGGGCATGAGGGTGGACTGGGGAGGAGGGGAGGAGGCTCCAGCAAAGGCAGCTGGGCCCCCCGCGCTGGCCTCGCCGCTCGATCTTCGCAGGCAGAGGGGCCTGTGCAGGTGAGGAGAATGAGAAGCCCAGGCCGCACGCTAGAGCCTCAGCCCTTTGCTACAGGCCCGGTGAAGTGAGGACAGGATTCATGGAGTTTCGGCAAAGAATGTCTTCATCTAAGTCACTCCACACCCTTGTCCTGAGCTCCTAATGAGCACCGGGAGGGGCTGGGTCCAGGGGAGAACGAAGCAGCTCCTGTCCCCCCGGAGACGCAGCCGTGCGGGAGGCAGCCACACAGATGTCCCCCCTCTAACGGGGCCAAGGCCCCCAGGAGAGGTACAGGGGCCACGAGGGGCGCACCCAGGCTGCCCCCAGAAATAGACTCAAAGCAAAGAAAACAGGGAGGCGCACAGCAGGGAGGGGAGGTTTCCAGCAAGAGGAAAAAGAAATGGGAAATGGGTGGAGATGCGGGGCATCCCTCCTGATCCTCTCTCTCTCTCTCTCTCTCTCTCTCTCCAGGCCTTGGCTCTCTCCCGGCCCCCTTCCAGCTTGGCCCTTGTTGCCTTCTGGGGAGCCCCCAAGACGAGCCGCCCAGTCCTGCCTCCTCCACCCCTCCCCTCCTGCCCTCCCTCCCCGCCAACTGGACCCACCTCTCAGGGCCCTTCCGGCCCCATGTCCCCCCAGAGCGGCAGTTCCCAGGGACCTCCAAGCCAGACACGCTGCTCCCAGGGCCCGGGGGCCCCCCAGTGACCCACCCCTTTCCGGGGCTCCCCCGGTTGGCTGGGCTGGGGCAGGGGGCTGGCGAGAGGCTCCGGCTCTTTTCCCTGAGGCCCCAGGGGCTGAAGGTAAAGGCCTGTCCCATGACTGGGGCACAGGGACGCCTGGATCCCAGGGAGGGCTTCTCCTCAGAGATTCATAGACCCAAAACTGGGGACAAAAGCCCCGTGTCCCCCCAGCTGGGGAACTTCAAGGCAGTGTGGCCCTTGGATCCTCCTTAGGTGGGGAGAAGATGGGAGGAGGGGGTCCCCCAAATTCCGTCCCTTGTCTATTTCCTCTCTGGCTTTGCGCCTTGCCCAGCCTGGAAACGGGTTTAAATTGCAGGAGGCTTTGAAGGGGTGGAGATGGACAAAACAGGGTAGGCGGCATTGCAGGGGTGGGGAAGACTGAGGGGGGCCCCCTCCCCTCCCACCCAATTGTTAATCAGATTAAGGAGACATTCTTAATCTCCACTTTCTTCCAGGGGGCTGAGCACCCCACAGCTGCCCACATTAGGGAAAAAGTGGGCATCTGGGGGGTCAGGAGTCAGTGTGCCCAGAGTGCTGGGCCCAGACCCCTCCTCCAGGCCACGGTCCCAGTCTCTGCCCGGCCCCCCATGCACTTCTCCATCAGCCCTGGGAGCTCCTGTCCACAGACACTTCCTTCTGTCATCATGCCCCCGAGACCAAGGGCCTGGGGCAGGGAGGGACTGGCCTCCTCAGTCCTGTAATTCTGCCCTGAGGGCCGTGAATAAAATGCCCTTGGCACACTGCCCTCTTGGCTGACCACCCCTGCTGCATCCCCACTCCCACCGCCCTGACCTGGTGCGGGGCTAAACGCCACACAAGGTTCTCGTGGGAGCGGGCGCGGGGTGGAGAAAGGAGGCTGCCATCACCACCACCCCCCCACCGCCGCCCAAAGCGAGAGGCTGAAGGAAGCCGTGGCGAGGCGCTAGCGCAGTCATGTGGGAGACCAGCATGTGAAGAGAACCGGAGCACAGAGCAGGACCTTCAGATTCCCGCGTGACCCTTGAGCAGAGTCGAATGGGCTGGGGTGAAGGAGGGCCTTGGCATGGTGTCCTCCTCTGTCCCTGGGGCCTCAGAATGACAAGCAGAGCTGATGGAAGCCTCGGGTGGCTAGGGGAGGGGGACATGGCAGAGAGGGGCTCGTGCTCACCGAGGGCGAAGCAGGGCAGAATGTTCCAGGAGCCAAAGGGAGTGAACCAGATTACTCTTCTGTCTCTAGGCTGCCAATGGCAGGTTTAGGACTTGACTCCACTTCCTTTCTAGGATGCGGAGTGGGGATCTAAGGGGTCGCAGAGGGTCCTGGTCCCTCATCCAGGAGTAGGTGTGTGCTTCCCGCGGGGTGGGGGCCGCACTTTGCCTTCTGCTGCTTCCCTGTCCTTTGTGGCAGATGTGTGGGGAAGGAGGAGAGGCCCAGAGTAGCCAGGCTCAGGCCCTCACCCCACAGAGAGGCTGAGACGAGCAGGGAGCCCCGCCCCTGGGCTTGCAGGCTGAATATAGGCCGGGAGCACCATCTCCGCCTCCCTCCTTCCCCCAGATGTCTCCCTCCCAGGAGGTGTCAGCGGCTTCGTGGAACTGCTTCTGGCTAGCTGCCAAAGCTGTAGGCCTATCGCCAGCCCTGTGGGAAGGAGGACCCCCCAGGCCAGGGCGTCCCCTCACCCTGCCCAGTCTGGGAGACAAAGAGCTAGTGTTGTCCCTCCGGCACAGAGAACTGGCTCGCACTGTCAGGGGGCCTGGGTGCTGTTCAGAGAGCCAACCTCATGGACAGGGCCCCATACTGGGGATCCCATGTGCCCTCTGCCTTGCCTGCCCCTTCTGTGACCCCCGCGTTTCAGGCAATGAGCAATGTTTGTCAGTCAGCATCTAAAAGTTCCCTTTGGGGGAAGTGAACCGGGACAGGTCAGCTCCAGGAGACATACCCCACCGGGGGGGGGGGGGGCGTGCTCTGCATTTCAGTAAAGCAGACTTTCTCAGCCTTGGCACTACAGCCATCTGGGGCATCATATTCTGTGGTGGGAGCTGTCCGGTGCATTCCAGGATGCTGAGTGCATCCATCCCGGGCCTTCAAACGCCAGCAGCAGCCCCCCACCAGCAGATGCTGTGAACTGTCCCTAGGGGGAGGAAATTGTCCCTGGCTGAGACTCACTCAAGCAGAGGGTGGCCTCAGCAAGTCCAGATGGGCTCCTCAGCACAGAAAGCCACGGGGGTTCCACGTCATGAGAGTGCCCTCTGGTGGCCAGAGCCTCCACCAGTGATGCGCGCACGCCCAGCGGGACTGGCCAGGTGGGCACAGCCCGGGGAGGGGGCTAGGTTTGAGGGGAAGGGGTGACAGGCACCCTGGCGTCTTCTCAGTTTAGGAAGGGAGTTTCAGGATAAAAAACTTTATGAACCCATCCCATTTCAAACCCTCTTTGCAAATCACGGATGAGGCACAAAGGGTCCGCAGGTCTCATGGGACCACAGAAGACCGGTTACCAGCTCCTCTGGGACAATCGGGTGCAGCCATCAACCCCGGACATCACACCCTCTGGCTGCCTGCGACCGTCGGCCTCACCTGGGAGAACACAGAGCAGATACTCAGCCTTCTTCCAGGAGCAGGGGGAACCAGGACGGGACTCGCAAAGTCAGCGCACCAACCACCCCTGCTCCTGGCGCTGTCACACCAAAGACAGGGACACTCATGGGTTCAAGCAGCGTTCGAGGAAGTCACCTACCCGGGCTTCACGAACTTTAGACTCCACTGGGAGCCAGAGGGACCGTGGTGGTGATCATGGCCCACAGGGAGGAAGAGGCTTGTCCAAGGTCCCAGGTAAAATAGAAGCTCCCCAGCTATGGGGGAGAGCTCTTCCCACCGCACCACAATCACACGGATTGAGAGCTTAAGAGGCCCTCAAATTCCTTAGAAATAAGAGCATATTACATATCGAGAGGGAGGGTTTCCATTATTCCTGCGTGATTTTTAGTTTGACTGCAGTAGCAATCATTTCGCTGTGTGCATTTGGGCGCTGGATTACATCAGCTTGTGCTCACTCTGACTGCCTGAGGTGAATGACAGCGTGTCCCCACGAAGAAGCCAGGATTCTCAGGGTGGCCCCGCAGGGAAGGTGTTTGTCACTAGAACATTGGCGCACGTGTGCAGGAGGCCTTGGGATTTAAAAACAAAAGCAAATCAGGGCACCTGGGTGGCTCAGTTGTTAAGCGTCTGCCTTCGGCTCGGGTCATGATCCCAGGGTCCTGGGATCAAGCCCCACATCGGGCTCCTTGCTCCGCAGGAAGCCTGCTTCTCCCTCTCCCACTCCCCCTGCTTGTGTTCCTGCTCTCCCTATCTCTCTCTCTGTCAAATAAATAAATAAATAAATAAACAAACAAAAGCAAATCGTTTGCTCCCCTGAATTGTTGGTGGCAGTGAGGGTAATGCCTACCCTCTCCCTTCTTTGTGCCCAAATGAGGACCCTGCCCAAGAGGGGAGAAGAAAATTCCAGTACCATGTATGTGTTACACAGACACACACACACACACACATAATAATAATAATAATTCAACTTCTTAAACGCCTACTATGTGCTGCCAGGCACTGAGGTTCAAGTGACTGCCCTTCAGATGTTTTCTCTGTGAGGCATCAGAGCCGTGGACACCAGCGCCTGGCCGAGAAGGTGGGCGCGGCTGCAGGCGGACCCGGGGAGGGACGCGGGGCTCTGAGTCCGTACGGTGTGCTGGAGCGGCACACTTTCTTCATAACATCCAACGGCGAATTTAAAGACACATTTCGTTTAGTGATCAACCTACTTTAAAATACCTGAAAGTAAATCTTAAGAAGGCATTTCTAATCCCCAAACACAAACAGCCAGGCAATATGTGCCCAGTGTTATCAAAGTTATCAAAACACACACAGTTCCGTGACCACTTTTCTCATTGAGTGTTACTTCGAGAACGCTTCACCAAGCATGGAGAGTTGACGTTGGCCCTCTTACCGGGTTGGAATGTTCGGTCAGGCCGATGGGGCATACACTTGACCATCAGCCTCTCGCTGGCCTTCTGGGTTGTTTCTGGTTATTTGCTTTGTAAATACAGTGGTTTCCAAACCTTTGTCCTAAGTTATAATCTGTTTTTCTTTTTTTTTTAATTAATTCCTTGAGATACATCCTCAAGAATGAAATAACTGGCTCAAAAATCACATTTTATTTATTTATTTTTAAGATTTTATTTATTTGACAGAGAGAGAGCACAAGCTGGGGGGTGAGAGAGGGAGAAGCAGGCTCCCCGCTGAGCAAGGAGCCGGATGTGGGACTCGATCCCAGGACCCTGGGATCATGACCCGGGCCAAAGGCAGCCGCTTAACCGACTGAGCCCCCCAGGTGCCCCCCAAACCACATTTTAATGGCTGTAGATACATATTGCCCAGCTGTCCTCAGAAAGGATTCTAATATTGTAAAAAGCCACATCTATGCACCACTCACCATGAACCAGCTACGTCAAGTGCTTCGTGTACATCGGCTTGTCTGACGCCTACCACAGCGGTAGCGGGGGGAGGCATTACTATCATCCCACGTTACAGATGGGGACTTTGGGCACAGAGAGGCAAACCACCTGCTCAGGGCCACGTTCCTGCCCAGTGGCCAAGCCGGGGTGCAGACCGGCAGCCAGCTCCGAGGCCAGCGGTTCTCCCGGAGCCTCAGTGGTCCAGCTTTGCCCCGCCTGCCTCCACTTCTCTTAATGAGAGAGAACTGCTCCATCTCTCTCCTCTTCCCCAGTCTGTCCTCAGTAAACAGTGAGGGCCACTGAAGATCGTTATGCTTGCTTGCTAGTTCTAATCTGCACTCTCCTGCTTTAGGACCAGGAACAAGGACCACCTCATTCATACAATATTTAAAAGGTATCTTAGGGGCGCCTGGCTGGCTCAGTCGGTGGAGCGTGCGACTCTGGATCTCGGGATTGTAAGTTCGAGCCCCATGCTGGGCATAGAGATTGCTTAAATAATTTTTTTAAAAAAAACTTTAAAAAAAAAAAAGAAATAAAAGATATTTTAAATGCATATATGGCCAAGTAAGGACAGAGAGAGGAAATAGAAATGTGTAAAGAAAGAGAAAGCAGAGATGCCTGGGTTACTCAGTCCATTAAGCGTCTACCTTCAGCTCAAGGCATGATCCCAGGGTCCCTGGATCGAGTCCCGAAAACGGCTCCCTGCTCAGCGGGAAGCCTGCTCCCCCTTCTTGTGCTCT